ATGACCTGGTTTTGGCACTCTATGACTCCGGAGGTTAGTAGGAATTATATGTTTTTCGCAACTGCTGGGGAGATTTGGAAGAATCTGCAGAAACATATTCCATGAAACAAGATTTCTCAGCATGTTTTGAATCGGAAAATAAAGTCTTTAATACTAAGCAGGGAACTCTCTCTGTAACTGACTATTATGGCACTCTAAATGGTCTCTGGATCGAATTAGATCAGTATCAAAGTTTGACAATGAAGTGTGATGAAGACTCCACTGCACTAACCCAATTTATTGAAAGAACACGGATATTTAAGTTTCTCTCTGGGCTTAACTCTGAATTTGATCCCATTCGGGTTCAAATTTTGGGTAATAAGAAACTGTCATCTCTTTCAGAAGTCTTTCACACTGTTCGTGGTGAAGAAAGTAGGAGGTCGGTGATGATGGAAGAGAAATCAGTTGATGGTTCAGCTTTAGCCACCGGAAAGGGTTCCATACAAGGATCCACTTTGAGAGGCCCCGTTTTGAAGTCCAACAGTGAAGATCGATGGTGCAGTTACTGTAAAAAATCTGGTCATACAAAGGACACATGTTTCAAACTGCATGGAAGGGATAAAGTCCTTGGACGTATAAGCGGGTCCAAAAATATTGTTCAGAGACGTGCAAATCACACTGTTTCTAATCTGGAAATTGAAGGCAATCCACTTACTTCACCCACAGAAGATATCCCCGGCCTTAGCAAAGCAGAACTTGAGCGCCTAAGAGCATTTATGGACTCCTTGAGTACACCCACTGGTAATTGTTCTCTAACAATGACTGGTAAGAATTCTACCTTCTTATCTTTTGATGCTTTGAGTAATGATCATAGTTGGATTATTGACTCTGGTGCTACAGATCACATGACACCTCACATCTCACATTTATCTTCATATTCCACTTTACCAAACAAACACCATATCACTGTTGCTAATGGATCCCAAACTCCCATTACTGGATGCGGTAACATCAACCTGAATTCATCTCTTCACCTTAAGCATGTGCTTCATGTTCCCGGGCTCTCTAATAACCTTTTGTCTATCCACAAACTCACCAAAGATTTAAACTGTGCAGTAACTTTCTTTCATTCCCATTGTGTTTTTCAGGATCTTGCCACGGGGAAGACGATTGGAATTGCTAAGGAACGGGACGGGTTATACTCTCTGCCGTATAAGGAAAGTATTTGTCATCAAGCGAGTTCAGAACCTTGGAATTCCTCTCAAATATGGTTGCATCACAAACGTCTTGGGCATCCTCCCTTTAAAGTTGTTCGGGCCATGTTTCCCCATTTATTTACAAAATTGTCAGTTGAGTCTTTTCACTGTGATGTATGTCAATTTTCCAAACATCACCGTTCCTCGTTTTTTCCTAGTAATAATAAAAGTGCCCAACCTTTTGATTTGGTTCATTCTGATGTTTGGGGACCGTCCGTTTCAAATATTTCTGGTGCAAAATGGTTTGTCACTTTTATTGATGACTGTTCTAGGATTACGTGGGTTTTTCTTATGAAAGATAAATCAGAAGTGTTTCAACTATTTGTTAATTTTTTCCACATGGTTCAAACCCAATTTGGAAAACCTATCAAACGGTTACGGTCAGACAATGGGAAAGAATATGTAAATCGGAACTTTTCTGATTTTTGAAACAAAATGGTGTTGTTCATGAATTGACTTGTGTTGACACCCCACAACAAAATGGGGTTGCTGAGCGGAAAAACCGTCATCTTCTTGAAATTGCTAGAGCATTACTCTTTCAAATGAATGTTCCCAAGTTTTATTGGGGAGAAGCTGTGTTGACCGCTACTTATTTAATCAATAGGTTACCATCTAGGGTTTTATCTGGTGTTAGCCCTATACTTTTTATAAATAATTTCTTTCCATCAGTGCCCACTATGTCAAGTCTCCAGAGTCGTGTTTTTGGTTGTTCTGCATTTGTTCATGTTCATGGTCCTCATCGAAGTAAGTTAGACCCCATACCTCTTAAATGCATCTTTATAGGATATGCACCAAATAAAAAAGGGTATAAGTGTTATCATCCTTCTAGTCGTCGTGTTTATATATCCATGGATGTCACTTTTCTGGAAACCGAATCTTTTTATCCTAATTCTCAGGTTCAGGGGGAGAGTAGACAGGAAGTTGAGTCCCCTGAGTTTCCTATTCTTCCTTTAATACATGTACCCTTGAATTCACTTCCTATTCCTGCCCCTAAGGACAGTGATGCTACTGATAATGGTTCTGAACAAATACCAGTGCACAATAATGATGACAGGTACCGTATAAAGTACCAACGAAAAGCTAAACCCGTCCTAATGCATCAGCAAGACCAATCGTCTGACCCTGAGGTAAGTACTCACAACCTCGAGCCTAACAATTCGTGTTTAAATGCTCCTAACTCCGAGCCTAACAAATATTGTGAGCCAAACCCTGATGACCAACCCATTGCGTTGAGAAAGAAAAAACGATCTTGCACCAAGTACCCTATATCTCAGTTTGTGTGTACTAAGAATCTTTCTGCCCAACACCAGAGTTTTCTTTCAGCTATTGACTCTATTAGAGTTCCTACATCAGTACAAGAAGCTTTAAAAAATAAGATTTGGATTCAAACCATGAATGAAGAGATGCATGCACTAGAAAAGAATAAAACTTGGGAGATGGTTGAAAAACCAAATAACAAAAAAACAGTAGGCTGTAGGTGGATATACACAATTAAGTAGCGATCTGATGGTACACTTGACAGGTATAAGGCAAGGTTAGTAGCAAAGGGTTTCACCCAGACCTACGGGATTGATTATGAAGATACATTTGCTCCTGTAGCAAAAATGAATACAGTAAGGATTATTTTATCCTTAGCAGCCCACTTTGATTGGGAGTTACAGCAGTTCGATGTAAAAAACGCTTTCTTGCATGGAGATTTAGAAGAAGAGGTATATATGGAGATTCCGCCAGGGTATGCCCCTACTTCAGGGAGAAATATGGTTTGCAAATTGAAGAAGGCCCTATACGGGCTCAAGCAATCACCCCGAGCATGGTTTGGAAGGTTTACTCAGGCCATGGTATCACTGGGGTATAAACAAAGCCAAGGTGATCATACCCTCTTTATGAAACACACTAGAAATGGCAAACTGACTCTTTTGTTAGTCTATGTAGATGATATGATCATTTCAGGGAATGATGAATATGAAAAACAAATACTAAGAAAGGAGTTGGCTGCTCAGTTTGAAATGAAAGACCTTGGAAAGCTCAAATATTTCCTAGGCATGGAAGTGGCGTACTCAAAACAAGGCATTTTCATTTCCCAAAGAAAATATGTCCTTGATCTTCTCAAAGAAACTGGTAAGTTAGGCTGCAAAATCACTGGAGTACCCATAGAGCAAAATCACAGGATTGGGAGTGAAGAGGAGAGCCCAAAAGTAGAGAAGACTCAATATCAGAGACTCGTGGGAAAACTCATATACCTATCTCACACAAGGCCTGACATAGCATATCCGGTTAGTGTGGTTAGTCAGTTCATGCATGATCCACGCGAAAAACACTTGCAGTCAGTGAATAGAATCTTGCAGTATTTGAAGTCAAGTCCTGGGAGAGGACTGCTATTCAAAAAGGAGGAACATCTGTCTATGGAGATTTATACAGATGCAGACTATGCAGGGTCAATTGTTGACCGGAGGTCTACTACTGGATATTGCATGTTCTTGGGTGGAAATTTAGTGACATGGAGGAGCAAGAAGCAGAATGTCGTGGCACGATCGAGTGCAGAAGCAGAATTCAGGGCCTTGGCTCAAGGGGTTTGTGAATTATTATGGATGAAGATCATATTAGGAGATTTGAAAATACCATTTAAAGCTCCTATGAGACTCTTATGTGATAATAAATCTGCTATTAGTATAGCTCATAATCCAGTCCAGCATGATAGAACAAAACACATAGAAATAGACCGACACTTCATCAAGGAAAAACTGAATAGTGGTCTTATTTCTACGCAGTATGTTCCTTCGGGACTTCAGTTGGCTGATGTGCTCACCAAAGGGCTTCCTGTAGAGCGGTTTCGAGAACTTACTTGCAAGATGGGAATGATAGACATCCATTCACCATCTTGAGGGGGAATGTGGAGATATTAGAATATTTGATTAATTATAATGAGATTTGTTCTGATCATGATCTGATTTCCTAGAATCAAGTAGGAGATTTGTATTAATTAGAAGATCTTGTACATAATTACTCTTTCCTTTATTAAGTTAGCTTAGGCCTATAAATTGTATTTAGCTTCTGTATTTGCATTTTGCAATCAATTTATATACCACTTACTATGAGTTCAATGAAACATTATCAATTTATCTTGATGGAAGGACCAGAAGAAGAGCATGGAACAAGTGATCAGCAGCCTGAACGGGATGTAGCAGATAACCTGCTGAAACGATCAGTTTCTTACTACCCACCTTCAGGACAAGGTGGTAGTTCAAGAGGGGAGTGATGATAGAGACCTATAATAATTCTAGAATAAGAATACTATTAAGTATTTTAATTTCGTACAATAAAAGGGTTTAGGCCCTATAACTAATTAGAAGTGGGCTGACCCATTAAAAAAAGAATAAATATGGGTGAACTGTACGTTGAGGGGAGGCAGAATTTTGATCGGGACTGGGATTTTTGGAGTGAGAGACCACTCGAAGAGTCTCAACCTTCTTCTTTCTTTGTTTTACGTTTTCCTTCATTAAACCTTCATAAATATACTTCGATTATCTACTGGGATTCTGCCGTTACCTATCATTGCGCTTTTATATACCACTTACTATGAGTTCAATAAATTTTATAAAATATCAAGTATATATAAAGATATAGATTTGGCACTCCAAAATCTCCACCTCTAAACTCTCCAAAACCCCCACAATCCAAAGGGACCTTAACTGGCTACTTGGAGACTCAATTCATGTTACTAGATGCCAAATAAAGATGCTCTTTTTGTTCGCATTTGCCTTGTAGGTGGGAGTGAAGCTGTCCGATGGGAGGAAGTTTTATGCTAAAACCATAATATCAAATGCTACCAGATGGGATACTTTTGGTTAGTTCGTTTGAAGCTTTAGGAATTAGATATTGTCAATGAAAAGAAAGCTAAATGGTTCTTTTTTACACGCTTGGTATGTTGATAATAATAAAATGGGAAAATTCCCGAAATAGGAGTAAAAACGTTTTCAAATTCCAAAACAAGAGTACTATAAAGAGGAGTAATTACTGTCAAGCTTGGAAAATACTGCCATGTTTAAAGCCCGATAATGCCAAAAAATGGCAGTAATTACTCCTATTTAGGGAATAAAAACATAGAAGTCATATTTTGAAATTCACAAACGTTTTACTCCTATTTAGGGCAGTTTCTTTAATAATACAGTCTCAATGGGTGTCTACATATTCATGAAAGGAAACCACAAATTCACGATGGAATACCCATATTCTAGGCATGTGAAACAAATGCTTTCTAGAAATTGTTCAATATAGGACTAAAACATATACAAAGTTCAAAAACAGGACTAAGTATGTTTTATTCCCCAAATAGGACTTATGTAGTCCTACTAAAAGAATAAGTTGATTAAAATAGGAGTGAATGAGTCCTATTTTGAGAATAAAACAAAGAGAGTCCTTTATATGAACTTAATGTTTATTTTAGTCCTATATAGGCAATTTTCTCGATTCTTTCTAGGGCTGAAAATAACCCGCCAAATCGAGTGAAACAGACCCGCCCAAAACCAACCCAAACTAATCTAACCATATGCGTTTAAGGTTTTCACTGCCAAAACTGACCGAATCTGACCAAAATTGACTGAAACCAACAAAAAATTGACCAAAAATGACAAAACCATAATTGAATTCATTAAGCCTTTCCTATTTTAAAACAAATACCAAATTATAAAGTACAATAATAAGCCCAATAGATTTTTTGTATCCAGGCTTTTGCTACTTTGGGTCTTTTCACAAAAATTAAAAAATGTTTGGTTTTGAACTGTTCAAACCAAACCAACCCAGCGTAAACTGACCTAAGCTGGATAGCTTTTGGTCCAAATCACTCCCATTCTAGTCATGTGCCATATCTTTTATGATAAAGCATTTAATGATATATCTTTCTAAATTGTAGGGAAGCTTTTGAAGGCAGATAATCTGCCCAAGGAAGAAGAGAAGTTCCAGAAGACATATGTTAAGGCGCCATCTTTTCTTTCTATTCACGTGGGGGTTAAGGCAGAGGTTCTACCAGCCAACACAGATTGCCACCATTTTATCCTCGAGGTACTGCGTACCAAGGACATTTAGTACGAATTAGAATATTTGGTTATGTCTCTTGGTTTGGTTAATTTTCCTAGGGTCTGGATTCTACAGGATGATTGGGAAAATTTAGTAAAGCCTTATGGAAGTATATTTTTAAGTATTCCAACTGTTCTTGATCCGTCATTGGCACCAGAAGGATGCCACATTCTTCACATATTTACAACATCAAGCATAGATGATTGGGAGGTATCTTTATAATTAGTTTGTTGTTGAATTCAAACCCTGCAAGCTATTTTCTTTTTTTGATTAATAATAAGAGGTTGTATATTTTTATTAGGGGCTCTCTCAAAACAGTTATAATGCAAAGAAGGAACTTGTGGCTGATAGAATCATAAACAGGCTTGAAAAGACGCTACTTCCAGGACTCAAATCATATATTGTTTTTATGGAGGTTTGGTTAATGATTTCACTAACATGAGAATGAAGAGTTATCTGAGAGTAAATTCAAAATTCATTTTGTAGTTTGTACATACGCTCATGTGCTTTCTTTATGCTCGGTAGTCGTTACCTTTTTCGCGGCATTACCTTCTTAAGATGGGGGAAGAATTCCTAAATGATTTATTCTGGGTTCCCATTTTAGTTAATAAAGCAGAAGGAAACCTGAAGTACTGAAAAACCTTTTACGTGTGTTTAATGCTTTCTATTATCATAGGTGGGTACACCAAAGACACATCGACGATACCTTGCTCGTGATAGTGGAACATATGGACCAATGCCACATGGGATTCCAAAGGGTTTATTAGGAATGCCATTTAACACAACTGTAAGTTACTTGTTCTTTTGGCTATGTTACCCGGAAAGGGAAAAATCGCTGGGATATAATGTTTTTATGCTTGGTTTTATTGTAAATCTCTTATCATCTTTTTTATCCTTTTTATCTTCTTTATCTTTATTCTTTTATAATTTTTATATTTTTTTACATATAATCTTTTTATCCATTTTATCATCATTTTTATGTTTATCTTATACTCATCTTTATCCTTATCTTACCTTTTTAATCTTTTTATCATTCCTTATCCAAAATCTTTTGGGGCTAAGGCTTGTATGTTGTTGTATCATACTTTAATATTTTTACCTTTCTTATATTTGTTTTCCTTTTGCTCCGATATCATGTATTGATTCATGTTAGTCGACTCCAAAATCTATCGAGACTAATGCTTGGATGTTGTTTTTGTTGTTGTTCTTTTTGTTGTTGTTGTTGTTGGTTTTACTTGTAACATTCAAAAGAAAATCAAATATGATTAGAGTTGATAGAGTATTACCTCTTAGAGAGAAGTGAGAGTTAGAGAGAGAAATGCAATGAATGTGCAATAATTATATTTGTCAACCCCTTACAACTACCCCCAATAGGAGTATTTATTTATAGGGAAAACAGGATTGGGAGGCCCATTACAATATAAGGTCTCTAATGGGCTGGATACAAGAAACTGTTCATGCGGGTCTGTCCGGCCGACGGAGGCACCGGCCGACGGAGGACAAGTCTTCTCCTTGGCTTCTGGATCGTATTCTGAATTGACTCTTCTTTGGCCGATGGGGTGCCATCTGACCGACGGAGGGCCCACTGGATGACAGCTGTGCTCCTCTTAATCTTCCGAGTATGTGGGTCATGGGGTTTGGACCCATATACTCTATCAAGAGTGTTTTAGATTTTATATGTATTTAGATTTCTTAGTCTTTATATAGCAGATACATATATATATGTGGGTGTATAACATGAAACAACATACGCGCACGTGCGTGCACACATACTCCCTCCCTTAAAAACTGGCCAAGTTTGACCAGCACGGAAAATAATAAAATAAAAATCGTGTAGATGAGATTTGTGCATTTCCAACATGTATAATGGAGCCAAAGACTCATTCTTTTTTAGCTTAGGAATATGATGCAATAAAGCAAAATGACTCACTAAACTATCTGCCCTTCTTTGTTATGAAGTAGCTGTCAGTCCATGCAATTTCCGACGCGATTCGCACTATGGGTCATCTGGAAACAGTCTCTTTGTGCTTTAGTACATGGGTTAGATTGGCGTACATCCGACCCCCCGTTACCCCACCATAGGTGGGAGCCTTTGCGGCACTAGGGTAATGATGATGAACTGAGATTTGTGTATGTGAGAGAAAATTAACAGGAACCACAAATTATTTAATTAAAATGAAAAGTGTCAAAATTAATAGGATAATCAAAAATGGAAAGTTGACAAAGTTTTAAGGGACGGCGGAAGTATATAAAATGACTTCGAGAGAAATATAAAATTGATTTATTGAATTTATACCATTTTCTCCTCAAATTTTCTTTCCTTTAGAAATTTTCTCTTGTGGTCGAGGTATGCCGACTAGAATGAAGGGTAAATTTTATCGGACAATAATTAAGCCTGTATTAATGTATGACGTAGTCGTTGGACGGTGAAACAATGTCACATTCAAAAGATGAGTGTGACATGAATGCGTATGTTGCGTTGGATGTGTGGACATCAGAAAAGAGCGCTTGAGGACTGAGATAAGCAGACCAAAGGTGGGACTAACACTTATAGTAGATAAGATACAGGAGTCTCGATTGCGGTGGTTTGATCATATGCACAAAAGACCGAGTGATGCACATGTTACGATTTGAGAGGTGGGAAAAGAGGCAGGGGGAGAGGTGGAGGAAGCCCTAAACATACTTGGATTAGATGAATTAGATCTGAGTGTGGACGATTGATCTGTTTTCTCTCTTGTTTACTTCTATCGTTCATCTTCTTTATATGTTCTTACGTTATTTTTATCTTTTATCTTTCTTATGCTCTTTTATCTTTTTATCTTTTATCTTTTTTTTTGATTGACATCCGGTATCCTCGGTTACCCGAGACTAATCCGGATATCTTTTATCTTTCTTATATTCTTATGTTATTTTTATCTTATATTTATCTTTATCTTATCCATTTTATCTCACTTTATCTTTTTACTCTTCTTATTTTTCTTCTCTTTTTGGCTTTGATTTCATTGACCTATTCATGTTAGCTGACCCCAAAATCTTTTGGGAATAAGGCTTGGATGTAGTTGTTGTGTTGTAAAAATTTCTCTTGTATTTATTTTATACGGTGTACTTATTCTATGCTAGGATATTACGAGTTTCAAAGAAACCCTTGGTGTATATACACTTGTTTGTGTTGGTAAACCAGATTTGCCCTTAATTAACTGCTTTCTTTGTTTGTGTCTGAGGTTCCAGGCTGTACATGGACTCTATTGTGTTGGGGATAGTTGTTTCCCAGGTCAAGGTGTCATAGCTGTGGCCTTTTCTGGAGTAATGTGTGCTCATCGTGTTGCTGCTGACTTAGGTAAACAGTTTTAATGGTCCGTTTGGAACCGGTAAGATACTCGGGAAAAAACTAGGAATCAAAACATAAATGAAACACTAGGAAAAGAATATGGGGATAAATAAACAATAACTTTGATTGATTTTATAGATTTGTTTACTCATTTTATTTGTCTATGTCATTATGTGGAGTTTTTTCCCGGAATAATGCTAATTAAATAAATAATTCCCAAAATACTGTTGGTTAAAAATAATTCCCAAAATACTGCTGGGTTAACTGTGGTTAAGGAAAGCGCCACTTGAAGTGGTGGCTCTTCTCTTACATTACAAAGTCGCCACTCCAGGTGGTTGCTCTTCTCTTACAACACATTTTGTACGTATATAAAATGCAGTATGTTTCAAGAATTTGTTTGATTGCCTTCCTGATTGAATTTGTTTAATTGCCTTCCCGATTGAATTTGGAGCTGAAATTTGGTAAGCGTAAACTAGACTTGATGAGGAACTTGCTCAAAACATTTCATAAAAAATGATTAGGACGTCATGGCAGGAACGATACACACACACACACACTTACATAGATTTAAAATATGTAGGCGAATTTACACAAAATACTAAATTGAATGAAGAAATATTTGATCAGACAATTTACAAAGGATTTAGGACAGACATACACTATTTAAAAACCCTTATGATAAATGAGAGTACATCTAATTAAAGTATAAAACTTTTATGAAAATATTACATACTACCTCCGTTCTCTTTTAATTGCAACATTGGACTTTTTCCACTATTCACATATTCTACTTTGACTATATTTTATTAATTAATGTATTATAAATTAAATTTTTAAAAAATATTGTTAAATTCTTCTCATTCTAAATTTTCAAAATATGAATTTTTTAAATTTTGTACTAATAAAGAATCAAAGATATTAATGGTCAAACTTGTGCATTGGTAAACGTGAAATGTTGACTGTTGCAATTAAAAGGGAACAGAGGAAGTATATAATAGAAAATTTTAAAAGCGGTGGACCGTCATACACTATTTAAAATTTTCTATTATATGTGTAATATTTTCATAAAAATTTTATACTTTGATTAGATGTATTCTCATTTATCATAAGAGTTTTTAAATAGTGTGTGACTGTCCTAAATCTTTTGTAAATTGTCTGATCAATTATTTCTTCATTCAATCTAATATTTTGTGGAAATTCGCCTACATATTTTAAAACTATGTAAGTGTGTGTGTGTGTATAGTAGTCTTCATATCAGGCTGGCCTGATGGGAACCGCCATCCGGTTGAGCCTGTTTGGGGCCCTTCCCGGTGCAATGTTTTGATGATTTTTTTTGAGCATGTTCTTCATCAAGTCTAGTCTACTCATACCAGATTTCAGCTAAAAATTCAATCGGGAAGATAGTCAAATGAATTATTTAATAACACTGCACAGTTAATATATATAAACAGCGTAGTATTTTTCAGAAAATCATTTGACTGCCTCTCCGATTGAATTTTTAGCTGAAATTTGGTATGGGTAAACTAAACTTGATGAAGAACATGCTCAAACAATTTCATCAAAAAATTCCACCAGGAAGGGCCTCAAACAGGCTCGGCTGGACAGCAGCTCCCGTCAGACCGACCTGACATGAAGTTTTATCTCTCTCTCTATATATGTATATATTCATGAAACGGCTAGTAACACAAGAGTCAAGAGGGGGATGAATTGTGTGTGGAACTGTGGCAGTTTTTCACCAAGTTCTAGTGTGGGGAGCTGAGTGAGACAAATTAAATAAGTGCACAAGGATTTATCGAGGAAAAATCTCTTGGTTCAAAAGGGATTAAAGAACCTCGACCTCCCTCGAAGGAATTTGAAACAACCATCAACAAAACAACATACTCAATATATATATATATATGTGTGTGTGTGTGTGTGTGTGTGTGTGTGGGTGTGTGTGTCCCGTTCCTGTGATGACGTCCTGACCGGAACCTCCGTGTGGACAACACCATCAGAGGGTCTTCTCGGTGGAATTTTAGATGAAATGTTTTGAGCATGTTACCTCATCAAGTCTAGTTTATGCCATAGATACATAAATCGGTGAGGAAGGCACGATCTGAGTACCGGTCGTTCCGTACCCAAACGCGGTACGAAATCAATCCGGTCACGGATGGGAATGCTAATCGGTACGGTCGACGAGTCGTCCCATTTGCTCTTCGCAAACGCTCGCAATCGCTCTTAGAATCACTCCCAAACGCTGTGTGAATCGATTTGCATCGCCGTTTCCTGTCACTGCTTAGGTGGAAACGTCGTTTCCCGTCGTTGACCAAAATGAAGCGTCGTTTCCCAAATTTGAGACAGGTTGGCGCTTTGCTTTGTTTCCCGTCGTGAACTAACAACGTACAGATTTCGAACGAGGATCTTCGATATTTGATCCTACTCATCAAGTTACCTTGCAACTTGTAAGTGTTATAATTTGAGGGGAAATAAATTACTTCGTACGCCAGGGCCAAACTCTTCTTTTCCTACTTTATTCTCTCCGGTCCTTTACTCCTTTCTGGAATGTTACTGTTTTTTTATTTATTTCTGGAATATTAATATTTTGTAATTTGTTTTATGTTATGATTTATGATTCGTAAATCATACCAAAATTTAAGATACAACGTACCAAACATGTGGTACAATGTACCGAACGCGTACCGGAATGAACCTAACCCCCTATGAATCAGATACACTAGATCTAGCGAACCACGTTCCCGTTCTTCGTTCCCGTACCGAAGCGTTCCGCGAACTATGTGACTATGGTTTATACATACCAAATTTCAGCTCAAAATTCAATCGGGAAGACAGTTAAACAAATTCTTGAAACATACTTCGTTTTATATATGTACAAAATGTGCTGTAAGAGAAGAGCCACCACTTAGAGTGGCGGCTTTTGTACTGCAAGAGAAAAGCCGCCACTTCAAGTGGCGGCTTTCCTTAACCACGATTAACTCAACAGTATTTTGGGAATTATTTTTAACCTAGCAGTATTTTGGGAATTATTTATTTAATTAACATTATTTCGGGAAAAAACTCCATTATGTGACGAGTAAGAAATTTAAAAAGGTGTAACATGAAACAAAAGGCTAGTTATTTCATTTTGCATTTTCCTAGGTAAAACAAGAAATAAGAAAGCAAAAAATGCCATAAATAAAGTAAAACACCCCCCCCCCCCCCAACAAAAAAAGGAGTCATTACCCCCATGAGGGGAAAATCCTGCCATTGTAGTATGATTTTAGGATGATACGGAGTAGTAATTTACTCTTGTTTCAGGAAAAAACAAAACTCCTATTTACGAATTTTACATTGCTTTTACCCATATTTCGGAGAATTTACCAGTAAGAAAATTACTCCCCTTGCCTAGCATTACCACATACCCTACAATGACCATATACAGTTTTCCGTTTATTCTTTAGAATCAATGTATTCAGTATGATTTGTGTAAATTAGAATCTTGGCGTATTGCATAGGAGTATAGGACTACTACTTTGCTTTGACCGGAAGTCATCTTCTTTACTGGCATAGGAATTGAGAGGAAATCCCCTGTGCTGGACACTGCTCTTCTTCGGCTACTTGGTTGGCTAAGAACATTTGCTTGACACGTGTATGAGTAAAAGTACATATCATTTATATCTGGAAATCTGCAACAAATTTACAACAGAAGGTTGTTATTATATATATTGACCTTCAAGGAAAGTAATTGTTGAAATACTCGCATAAAGAATAAACCTCCATCTACCCTTATATATATACCATGTATCCATGAAGAATGTAAACATCAGGTTATTATGCAATATTAATAAAATTGTTGTTATTCAACACTAGTGATGCCATCAAGTCAAATTTGCAACCTCGTGTAGCTTAGCTTCTAGCACGGTTTTATTTCACAGTTTCTTGGTTTCTACTTTCTACTATTATCTGTGTATAACTGTATATATAAGCAAATCAATCGTCGTAATCGTTTTTCATTAGCCACTGCTTCCCACCTTTTATAATGGATATTTTATAGAGATATTACCCGAAATAGGACTAAAACAGTTTGAAAATTCCAAAATAGGTCTGCCATGTTTTTATTCCTAAAATAGGACTAATTATTGTCATGTTTTGGCAGTACCAGACTTCAAACATGACATTATTTTTTAAACATGTCAGTAATTAGTCCTATTTTGGGAATAAAAAACATGACAATCCTATTTTGGAATTTTGAAACTGTTTTAGTCCTATTTCGGGAACTTTCCCATAATGTATTTTATATGATAACCAACCTTCTAAAAGGCGCCAACCAATTGGGGGGTTAGGTCTAGCCCCCCAATTTTCTTTTCTTTAGCTTGCTTGTTATCTTTGTCTGTCGGAGATGTTTTGGCCTAGTCCCTATCTTCTTTTGTACTCCTTTTTAATTTTAATAAAAATTGGCAAATGTTTCCCAACATTTGTCTTACTAATTTTGATAGTTTGTATTTCGGGTTAAAAAAAAAGCGCCAACCAAATGCCTCGCACACCCAATAGGTGCTGCAGCCTCCAGAAGACGTTGCAGACTTGCAGTCTTCTTGAACTCCCCTTTTAGAACGCCAATAGCCACTGGTAAAGCGTTGTAAACTGTAAAGGAATTCTCCTCTTTTCACTGGTCTGGGACTTCGTAATGTCTGACTTCGTAAGTTCGTATTGACTATAGCGGTCAGTTGTTAAACTATTCAACTTTGTTTTCATTTATAAATTTATTATTCTAAATATGCTAGACTAGTAAACAATCGCTAATTATTATTATTAGGGAAAAATAATTTAAATACTCCAAACTTTGAAGGAGTGTGAGATGAGCACCCAAAACTTGTACATGTAAAATACCTATCCCAATCTTTATATAAAAAGTTATACATATAGGGATGGACCCGGTTCCGGTTCCGGGCCAGGCCCGGTCGGGCTTTTTTTGCAAATTCATGGGCCCGGAACCGGCCCGGGTTGATACCGGGTCCGGGCCTAACCGGGCCGGGCCCGGTTTGATGTCTATTTTTGTTTTTGCTTTCTTGTTATCCCCCGACCCCCCCCTCACCCCCACCCCCCAAACCTCCCCAAAACACCCAGCCCTAGCCTAGGAAAAGAAAAAAATTGAAAAAAAGACCCGGGCCCGACCCGAACCGCCCGGGCCGGTTCGCCTAAAATTGGGCCCGAGCCCGGTTCGCCCGACCCCGGTCCGCCCGACCCGCCCAAACGGGCTAAAAGCCCTGAACCGGCCAACCGGTCCCGGTCCGGTTCGGGCCCAAACAGTACAGGGCCGGTTCGGCCCGGCCCAGTCCATCCCTATATACATATTAGTATCATGATCATAACTTTAGATACTCAAAATATTTATGAGGATGCAATTAAAATTAAATTAATTCAGATGTAATACTATCTATTTCAGAAATGAAATTTTAGAATGCTAACTGCATTCTAATAAAGTTTAGAGTATTTTAAATTATGTAATTATTCCAATAAACTTGTATTTGTAAAAACATATCATAATGATGCAAAAATAACTTTTTATATTAAGTTCGGAGTATATCTATTACATATGCAAGTTTGAGATACTTATCTCACACCCCATTAAAGTTTGGGGCATTTAAATTATGGAATTTTATCAATTCAGGACCTGAAAGATAGATGAATTATCAATTCGGGACCTGAAAGATGAGATTTATCGGTATAGGACCCGAATGATGAAAAACTATCAATCTAGGACCTAAAATTTCATAGGTTTTGATTTATTTAATTTTTTATTAATTCCATTGCTAATTTTTGATAAACTTTGCTTCACAAAAGTTTATTATTTTCATAAAACTAAATAATATTTAAAAATTTTAAGATAAAAAAATTAATAGAATTTCGGACAACTTAGGACCTAAATTGATAATTTCCAATCATTCAAGTCCTAAATTGATAGTTTTCCATCTTTCGGGCCCTATATCGATACATTTCATCTTTCAGGTCCCGGATTGATAATTTATCTATCTTTCGGGTCCTGAATTGATAAAATTCCTTAAATTATTTTACCCTTATTATTATTATTACTATATTGTTAATTATTATCATTATCATCATCGTCATTTTTGTAATCATCATGATTATTATTATATCATACAACTATTTTATTCAATTCTAATTTTTGTGTAATAGGTTAATCCGCATTTTGAGATTTACAACTTTAGAAATAAATGAATTAGAACCATACAAATAAGACTAACTTAATGAGACCAGATAAAAAAAGGAAAAAAGTAGGCGAGATAATAAGACAAAGAAGTATGGTTTAGTACTCCATATTAAATTTACATATTTAAAAATAACTAGAAAAAATAAAATAAAGGGGAAAAACTGAAACGTCTTTTCACCCCTACGCCTCGCTTAAACTCGCATAGGCTTCAGAGGCTTAAGATTTGAGTGTGCTGCCTCGAGACGCCCTACACTTTTTTGAACATTGATGGTAACCCTCAATTATGAGGTGTTCTATTCGGTAAATGAGAAAAGTTTATGATCCGTAACTCAAGGTAATCTTGTAACAATAATAATAATATTCAATCCTCAGTCCCAAAATAGTTATATGTTAGTTAACATGCATCGAAATATGAAAAAATTATTACCCTAAATAAGAGTAAAACAATACGGAAGTTCCGAAATAGGAATTGTTATAGATTTATTCCTCAAATACGAGTTATTAGTTGAGTGGTCCGCTTCTTTTTCCTGTTTTACCCATCTTTAAAGCTACTACATAAATTAGTTTTGTCACTTATCTTTTCCCCTCTCCTGCGGACCCACTCACCCACACCCTCTTCCCTCCATCATCTCTTTCCTTCTCGTGTCTCTCCTTTCTCTTCTATCAATTCATCTCTCACATGCTTGAATTTGCAAACTTCTTCCCCTATTTCTCCATCTCTGGCTATTTATAAATGTTTGGGTTGTGAATTTTCTCGCGTCTCCGGCGACCGCCGGTTGCGGCGGCGATAATCTTGGTAAGTCCTGATGTTACTCTTCTTTCCTCTTCCTATTCATCCTCCTCCTTTCTTATTGTTCCCCGATTAATTAAGCACTAAAACATTTTTTTTTGAAATTTGAACAAAGACCATATATTTGGTTTGTTTGAAACTTTACTCCTTCAATTTATTCCTCATACTGTAGAGATTTAGTATGTTGTTAAATTGTTTGTATCAAAGTTTTCTTTTTTGCTTTCTTCTGCTTTTTTCTCTTTCATCTTTTCTTTTTGCTTTTGTTCTTTTATATTTTTATCTTTTTTTAATATAAAAGAGTTTGATTTTTTATTTGTTAAAACATAGATAATAAATTTACATTGATTTCAGTCATTGTTTTTGTAACTTTTCGTATTAATTTATCGATTTAAATATGAAATTGCCATAATCCCTATTTCAAAGTAATTTTTATGGTAATAAGATGTAAATATTACCCCTTTGCAAATACAATACTAATAATGTCATGGTTTTCCATGTGAAAATATTATTTGACACATAATGCCATGTTTATGACACTAATTCCATCAAGATGACTAATAATGCCATGTTTGTGCATATACAAAATATTATTTTAAAACACAGTGCCATTCGTATGGAACTAAATCCATTATGATTGCAATACTATTCCCCTTGAAAATACAATATTTATAAAGCCATGAAAATGTGAAGATGGCAATAAGATTCATATCCTTTATTTTAATATAAAAAAGCCATTTGCTACAAAAAATAAAAAATAAAAATGCCATTAAGATGACATTTTAAAACACTCTTTCCAAATTTCAGATTGGTGGAGCCGTGGAGAAGGAGCCAAGGTGGCGGCGGTGGCGGAAGAGCCATGAGTTACTCTGGACCAGGCGGCGGTGGAAAAGGCAGCAACGACGACAACGATGATGGATATGGCGGCATCGACTGACGGCGGAGGCATCATGCAGCGGCAACACCGACGACCGCGCAACATGGACTAGCGGTTGCGACGGCATAAATTGGTTGCTCAGCGGCGATTGAGATGGCGAAGGCGGCTGGTGCATGTGGACATGTGGTGGGTGGTGTCTGCCTTGTGGCATTGGTTATGCGGGAGATCAGAAGTACTCCCTCCGTCCCTTAGAACTTTGTCATCTTTTCTTTTTGGGACGTCCCAAAAATCTTTGTCACTTTCCCTTTTAATCAATTATTTTTTGGTTTAGGTTATTTCTCTCTCCTCTGCACAAACCTCAACCACACAATTTTTACTTTATTATTTTCCGAGCCGGTCAACTTTGGCAAAGTTTTAAGGAACAGAGGCAGTACATTATTGTGTACAACTCGCATTATATTATTATTCTATTTTTTTAAGAAATCAATTAGGGTTTTCATTAGGGGTAGATATGTCAACTCATGTATTTTTACTCCTACGTAACTTTACGGAACTTTAGACTCATAATTTTGCACTTTTGTTATGTTTTACTCATAGATAGGGAATTTACTCCATATGAAAGCAGAGTTAAAAAAAGATAAATACAGAAAGGGTGATAAATAAAATTAGATCAATCATTGATTTGTATACTCTCCATCCATTTCAGCGTAAGTGACTTTTTATCCGCATAATTTCAGTTTAGATGTTGTTGGGTTAATGGTCCAATGGGGGTTGGCCCATAAACCCTTAAGGCTCATGGGGACGGACGTCCCCAGAAGGCCCAAGACAACGGAATACCCTTTCGATTATCCAGGGGACGTACGCATCCTAGCGTAGGCAGGTACATTGGCCCAGGGGCAGTGGCTGATGCACGTCTCGCAGGACTTGGCCCAACAGGAAACATGAGGCAAGCTCAAGGCGACAGACGTCCCTAGAAAGCCCAAGACCATGGGATACCCCCGATTATC